TGTTAAGGACAAATGCAAATTAGACTTTACTATGGCACATGTTCTCAAATACTACAGAACTTTGTCCTTCAATCTTAAAAGTGTACATAAAAATATTCCTACTCCAACTGGAGCTGGGTTTTATTGTTTACAGTGTACTTTATATGCACTTAGAATACTGTACAGGCAAGGTTACCTTGACCAAATTTTGAGCGGAAAGGATAATTTCAGTGAAGTGTGTTCTTGGAATACTCAGAAGTAACCTAGTATACCTTAATATTCCAGCATCCCAACACATGCTGTAACCAACAGCAATGAGTCTAAAACAAACTTACTAAATGATGCTGAAAATCCAATGGAATTTTAAATGTCACCTTTCGCTCTTTCAGCAAAACCATGCAAAAGTACAGTTTTTCTACTCACTACCCTTTCTAAATCCACTGCAAGTATTTAACTAAGTGCAGCTGAGAGTATTTTTTTTAATTAATGCTCCCTAGATTGAGTGATCAAGAGCTCAACAAAATAAGTGTTGATGCACTGATCCAAAATGAGACATTTAAGAAAATTAGTGCAGGAACTTTAAAAAGGATGATTAACTTTTTATTTTTAAAATGTGGTTTAATTTTAATATTAAAAATCAAATAAAAGGAAATCAAGATAATGTGGTGCATTTCCTTTTATATAGGATTACAGTGTATGCTCAATATTTTCTATAATTTCACCTTCTCAATTAAGCATTTTTATTTTATGTACTGCATAAGTCACATTAAGGGGATTCTAAATTGAGTGATAACCAAGAGACTAATTTGGTGTTGAGGGCACATAAAAAACTAACTAGATTACATCTTAGAATCATTTGTTCTAGAAGGCTATTCTAGTGGATAACCTACTCCAGTCCAGCATCACGGCAAGTTTGATTTATATGTCCCTAAACTTCTTGCAACTGAAGCCCATTACAACTCATTCTGTGCTGACTGGAAATTAGTTTGGTTGTTGGCATTGATGACTTGGGTCTTTGATGTCATAA